TTCACTGCTTTAAAAACACAGATTCACTGCTTTAAAAACATAAGTTCTCTGCATTAACAACAAATTCTTTGCTAAAGCAGTGAATTTGGGTGTTTAAACCAGTGAACCACTGCTGTGACAGATTTCCTAACCTGAATGATCCTCAACTTTAACAATTAATATCTCTGTTCATAGAGTAGAACGACGCTTCTTTCTTGACAAATCTTGATTTTTACGCATCGATTGAGTGTATTTTCATCAAAATTTGAGTTGGAGTCTTCTTAACATATACTCATTTTTCATTTTAGATGTGAATGAAACAATTAGAAATGCATTATATGTACGAACCTCTTTACATATGCTTTCTTCTTCGAAAGTCTGTAGAAAGATGCGAGAAATTTCTTTCATTGATGAGTTTTCATTAATAAATATTTATAACTATTTTTTTTACACTACACCACACTGCACTGCAACTGCACTGCGAACTCACTTCTCTTCGTAGACTCACTGTCGTCGCTGCTTCGATTGTTGACAGAATGACAGGACACGCGTCGCGCCTGTTGTCCTTCTCAAGCTCTGCGTGAATATCTATTTTTCTCATTTCGCTATCGTCGCCCGTCAGTTGCAAATGTTGAAATCGTTTAGAATATTTATATACTTTTACATTTAAATTTGTTAATTTCACGTAATGCAGCTTTTAGTATGCACTAATCTAGTGTAGTGCAAGCGACTGAATTCGCTATTGTGAATAGTACTGTGCAGCCCGATTACTGACACTACAGCATTCTATGAATAATTCTACGCATTTATAAAATTACATCATCTTCTATAGCAGTGCTCGGAAATAGTTGTTTATTTCGAGCCGATGGGCCTTTTTGAAGTGCCGCCTACTTTTCCCCCGCTGCTTATTACTGTTCAACGCTCGACGGCCGAGCCGCCGCACCGAATCGCGCGCGGACCACGGTTGCCAGGTCTCCAGATTTCGACTGGAGACTCCAGTTTTCGGGATCAATCTCCAGTTCTCCAGTAGACGGGAAAAATCTCCAGTTTTTCGCTCGCTTGGAGTATTTATTCTTGAATATTTAACAAATGTTATTCAAGACATGATTCTGAAATACATTCAATAGATTTTAGCTGTCGATCGAACACCTTGCGTAATGCTATAATGCCGTCGGTGCTGTAACTTTGAACTTAAAACTGGGAAAGTATTAATGATAAATAACTTTATTCTAGTATTTTGAAAAACTCTTGCTATTAGCTATTAGATTCTGGAATCTAAAATATAATGTTCCATTTCAAAAAATCGATTTGAACTTGACTTGACCTTAACAACGTTACCCAAAGCCAAATCAATGAGACCTTCTTATGTCCCCTTCCGAACCATACAATTTCTGTTGGAAACATTTTTCCGTGATTCGAAAAATTTTAATGTACTGTTAAAATGGGATACCTTATATATAATGGAGTTTTACATCATAAGATACGCAAGGCAATGCGTAAATAGACTAAACGTACAGTAAAGACGAGAATTAATGAGTACTGTAATGATATTCGAAAAAATATTAATAATCATTCGGTAATTACCTTAGAACATATACTACTGGAAGGAGAATAGGGCGCTGAACGTGATGCCAACATCTGTGCGAGAGAGAAAGGTATAGAGTAATATATGCGCAATGCGCATGCGTCAGTGCCATCGTTATGTGTGAAATGAATTGTACAGTTGTGTTAGTGTTCTCACGCATTTTTACTGTTTGTTTTAGGAGTTTTAGGTTACGTATCTTAGACAAAATAACAATAAAATTGACATAATCTATTGTATTTAATAAATTAGTGTTAAAATGAATTTTAATATAAGAATGCATGCAATGTGAGAAACCTTTTCAAAAGAAATGAAATAAATATGAAATAAATAAAATAAGAAATAAGAAATAAATATGAAATATGTATTAAATAAGAAATAAATATGAAATATTTATTAAATATGAAATAAATATGAAATATGTATTAAATATCCATAACATATGTAAACATAACCTACATGTTATTATATAATTAATGCCTTAATAAAATCTTACATACAATAACTTATGAGTAATAAGAAACTGCAGTAGTTCCGCGA